CCCCCCCCCACCACCACCACCACCACCACCCGCGGACACATCAGCCAGGGGCAAACGCACCAGGACCACAGGCAGCCAGGGGAAGCTGCTCCAGCAGGGCGACGCGGCTCTCGAACGGCGCCACCAGGGCCGCGCGGCAGTCCTCCTCAAAGAGCCCGGCGCCGCCGATCATGGACCCCAGCAGCTGGCGCGTCATGCGCAGGAAGGTCAGGTAGATGTACACACGCGAGGGGAGGGCAATGTCCCAGGTGAACATGAGCACGGCCAGCAGGGCCTCGAGGCCGGCCGACACGGGGATCACCGCGTCCGGCAGCCACCCGCCGGACAGCTGGGCCAGCGACAGCCCCGGGCCCGGGGTGCCGAACAGGTTGACACCGCCCACCGGCCCGGCCAGGATGGCGTCCAGCCACTGGTAGGCCGTGCGCAGGCGATCCAGCCCATGGGACCAGGGGGCATCCGACCGCTGCAGGGCCACGGCCAGCTGGCGGATGGCCGGCCGCTCGGCCGCCTGGAGCTGCCGGCCAAAGCGCCCCTGGGCCAGGACCGCCACGAACCAGGCCAGGAACACCCCGAACACCAGCCACGGGGCGAACACCCGGTAGAAGCTCCGCCACCGGGCTCGCGGGGACTGGGCCTCGCGGCTGTCAAACCACCGCCCATACTGGTCGAAGAGGGTGGGCCCGGACCGGACGACGGCCGGGGCCGCCGGGGTGGCCGCCTCGCCGGCCGCCGCCGCCGTGGCCGTCAGACTCGGCGGCGGCGGCACGCTCCCCGGCCGGGAGTACCCCCCGCCGGCAAGGTGCCCGAGTGACGGCGACTCCGTGGCCAGCAGCATGGTCGGGCTGTCGGTGGCCAGAAGGGCGTCGGGGCCCGGGTGGGCGGCGGCGGCGGCGGCCGCGGCGCCGGCCCGCCGGCGGAGCCCCGCGTGCTGGCCGGCCAGATCCGCGGCCGAAGTGGACCCCCCGGCGGCCGCCGGCGTGCCAGCCCGGGCGGCGTTGGAGCGCGATTCCACCGGCGGCGGCCCGCGAGCGGATTTGGTCGACAGCAGGGCCGTCAGAAAGACCTCCTGGCTGTTGAGCACGGCGCCCGGAGGCAGCAGCCCCGCGCCGTCGGCCAGCGGCTCCGGGCGGTGCTCCGCCGGGGGGGCATCATTCGCCAGGCCCGATGGCTTGGCAGGCTCCTCGGCAGGGGGGCCATGCACCGGGTCCGCGGGCCGGCCGCCGGGCGGGCCTGCCATGACAGTGGCCGCGTGCGCCGGCGGCGCCATGCCATCGGTGCGGGGCCGGGCCGTGCCGACGCTCCAGGCCCCGCCCGGGCCCGGATCCGGCCGCGCCGCCTGCCGGCTGGCCTGCGACGCTTGAAAGGCCTGGACCAGACGGTCGGCCTCCTCGATGTCCATCGTGCGGAAGGGCGTGCCGGGGGAGTGGTCGCCGAAGCCGCGCCCATCGTCGGCCCGGGGGTCGCCCGCATCCAGGCCATCGAGCCCCGGCAGGTGCTGGGACGCCGGCGGCGCGGCCCAGATGTACCGCGGCACCGGGGATGCCCCCCCGACGGTCGGGTCCTCCAGCGGGAAGGCCAGCAGCGGATCCGCCGGCAGCCCGGCCGCCAGATCAGCCCGATAGCCGGCCGCGGCGGCCGCCTCCAGCGCCGCACTGATGATGCGCTGGGCGGCCTGGCGGCCGGCCAGCTCGGCATCCGCGCCGCGCTGCGACTCTTGCCGGTCGGGCTGCTGCTGCTGCTGCTGCTGCTGCTGCTGGGTCAGACGCATGTGGATGAGCTGGCGATTGAGGGCATCGCCGCCCATGAGCGCCGGCAGCCCGGGGCTCGGGCTGGCTCCGGACCGCGCGGCGCCCTGGCCGGCGGAGTAGTCCTGAAGGCGAACCATGGCCATGGCCGGGATGCCGGTCGGGTGACGCCCAGCCGGGCCGGATGCCGGGTGCGCCGCAGCCGGGACCACGGCCTCGGCCTCGGCAGTGGCGGTGTGCTGTGCGATGGACACGGCCAGGAAGCGGTCGGTCATGGGGGGCCCGCCGGCCAGCCCGGCCACCGCCATCGGCGACACGGGCCGCACCGGGTCCTCGGCCAGATGGCCCGGGCCCGGGTGCCAGGACGCCCCGGCCGTGGGGGGCAGCTGCGGCGTCAGCTCCTCGCGGCCCTGGGTGTCGGTCAGGGAGGGGCTCAGCAGCATGCCGAACATGCTGAAGGCCGGGGTGGCCGGGGTGGCACACCCGCTGGACATGTCCCCACTGCCCGGGCCCGGCGGGGCGTAGGCGGCAGCAGTGGCCGATGTCGAGCCCCAGGCGGGCTCGGCCGAGGTGGGCGTCGGGGCCGTGGCCATCAGCAGCCCGGAGGAAGACCCGCCCGAGGACCGCATGGTGCTCAGGGCCCGGAGGAAGGGCGTGGCCGGGGTCGGGGCCGCCGAGCAGGTGGCCAGGGGGGTGCTCGGGCCGCTGAGAGGCCCGATGCCCGGCGTGCCACTGGCCGGGCCGCGGCCCAGCATGTATGGCGACCAGTAGGGGTTGACGGCCGGCGTGGCGCCGGCCCCGGCCGCCAATGACGGGGTCGGGTGTGGGGCCACCAGCCCCGGCGACGCCGACGCTTGGTACTTGGACGTGTCCCAGGAGGGGGTGCCCAGGCCGACGCCGCCGGGGGGAGCCTTGCCGGTGGCGGATCCGGCCGGGTCATTGGCGGCCGGCTCGGCGGCCGGTGGTGGCGGCGATGCCGCGAACAGCGCGAGCTCAGCGGTGTTCATCTTCAGACCCGGGCCCGCCATGGGTACATGTGTGTGTGTGTGTGTACCAGGGAGAAGTGGAGTGTGGGTGAGAAAGAGGCGGTGGGGGGCACGAAGGAGAGCGGGAAGGCGGCAGGCGCGGCAAGGGCAGCCCCCAAGGCAGCTGGCATGCCGGCGGGCCGTACCTCTTCCGGGTCAGCGCGCCATGCGAGGCCACGGTCTGCACGGTCACAAGGCGGGTGCGCGGGCGAGATGTCGAGCACGGGACGGGTGTCAATATGGGGGGGGGGGTGCGGGGGAGATGAAACACGCAGGCAGGCCACCTCACCCACGGAGGAGGGCAATCGGTCTGCGCAGGAGTGGCGACACAGCCAGGAAGAGAGCCAGCCATGCACCCCAGGAGGAACGGGTGCAAGGGGGCCGAACGGGGACCAGGTGTGGGGCAGGGGGAGGGGGGGCAACAAAAGCCAACACCAGCCCCATGCGGGACAGCCAGAGGCGGGACACAGTAAGGGACCAGGGCAGGAGGGCGAAGGAAGGCGACGGGGCCGGGGGGGGGGGGCAGGGTGGCAGGGGGGAGGCGCGGAGGGGGGTACCGTGCGTCGGGAAGCAAGCCCCCCGTTCTTCAAAATCCCGGTCCTTACAGTGGGATCGGTCCAGGCCGGAGGGAGGGAGGACCTGCAAAGCGGACACCGCAACGGGCGATCGAGCTGTCGGGGGTGTCGGGGTGCACACTCGCGAGCAACCAACGAGCGAGCGAAGGGGCGGGGGTGGGTGGGCGGCGAGTGGCCAGGCAAAGGGGAGCCGACACTGGGGAAGGATGTGGCTGCCAAAGGTGTCCGCAAGTACACAGGGGGGGGGGCGGGGGCGGGCGAAGCCGGGCGAAAGGCGTTAGTCAAGGCGGGGTCTGCTCGACCAGCACAGGGGACAAGGATCCTCCGCCTGGCTGCGGGGACTTTCTCACAATCGCTGGAAGCGCCAGAGAGCAGGGCACGCCAGGGATGTGTTTGCATGTGTGTGTGTGTGTGTGTGTGCGAGGACGCGAGCTCAAGAGCGACAGCGGGAGGGAGAGAGAACGAGAGAGAGAGAGAGAGAGAGAGACAGAGAGAGAGAGAACGAGAGAGAGAGAGAGAGAGAGAGACAGAGAGAGAGAGAACGAGAGAGAGAGAGAGAGAGAGAGAGAGACAGAGAGACAGCCAGATGCTTGGGAGATATCTCTGGGGGCGGGCGCGAGGCCCCGAGGCGGATGCCCGGATCGCGAAGCGCGATCCCCCCAACGCCTCTCTCCCGGGGTGATCAAAGCTGGCCGAGGCAGGGGAGCGGGGCAAAAGGAGCGGGCAAGCAAGGGCGCAAGCGTAGATGATGCTACGCCGAGGGGCACAAGAAAGGGTATCCTTACCGAGAATAGGGCGGGGGAGGAAGGGATGGACCGCTTCACGAGGGGGGAGGGGGCACGCCGTATGCGACAAGGAGGAGGCGAAGGGGAAGGAGAGGACGGAGTGGCTTGGGGGTGGCGGTGGGGGACCACCCAGCGGGGGTGGCGCCCAAAAAGCCCCATCTCCTTTGTGCACGAGGACCAGAGGGGGGGGGGGAGGGCGGTGGCTAGCAGGCGCCTGGTCTTGGGGGCCGGAGGAATGAATGCCGATACGCCGGGCGTGGGCGCCGACTCGCCAGACGCCTCGAGACCCGTGAAGCGAGAATGAGGGAAGAAACCAAGACGACAGGCCCCGCCCCCCGCCCCCCGCCCCCCGCCCCCCGCCCCCCCCCCCTCCCCCTTGGCCCCTCGACACCGCCCCCTCGGAGCCGGACGGGCTGAGCCACGGCTGGCCGCAGTCCTGGGGCGCGTGTCCGCGCTCGGCCTTGCTCGCCCGGCCCCTCCTCCTCCTCCTCCTCCTCCTTGTCTCTCGCCGTCTGTCGCGCCGCTTGCCGCTGCCCCGCCCGCCGTGCCCAAGCACTCCGGACCCCCGGGACGCGCGCCAGGGTCGTCAGGATCGCCCGACTGGCCTCTTTTTTTTTTTGACGGGACCCGATGAGTTACCATCTTGTGCCGGAGGCTTTCCCAAGTCCGGCTTGGACGCCAGGGAAAAACAGCCCCCGGGGTGCTCCGAGCGAAATCACCAGCGAGCGACTGTCATATTGGCAAATGGGGCATGAGTGCGTGCCCCTTTTTCCGCCGAAGGAGCACTCCCCACACCTGCCGGGCCCCGGGGCCCGGAGGGGGCGATCGGCTGCGCGGAGGTTGTGGGGCAAAGACATCCTGGCCCCCCCC